ATAAATATATATATATATATATATATACACACACAGGATAAACTCAGTCTTATTTTCTCTTACCTTTTAGAAAATAATTGTGAGATTACTGTGGCCATGAAATATTTTGGCATGTTGTACCACTAATGATAAAGGCAAAAGCTACAGAAAAATTAAAGCTGAAGCAAGTCTTTTATTCATTCCTATACAAGAAAAAATAAAGTCTAACCTTATACTTTCTCAAACATAACTTGAATAAATAAATATTTTCCTTCATTGATAATATAAAGTTAGGTAGTATTTCAGATATCAGAACTCAATCTCTTGAGAAAGAAATTAAACTGAACATTATTTGTTGACTACTATATGCTAATATTCTTTTCTAGACTGTGTTACCACCCTTTAAGTTCTATGGGCAGTATTTTCCATAATCAGCAGGTATACTGTATTTTGCCTTTTATTTTGGTGACAAAATCTATCAAGTGCAATGCTGTGCTTTCCAGGATTATTAGAGGTTCTTAAGATGTCTTTTTAGAGAAAAAAAAAAAACAAACAGAATTTAAAACAAAGAATAAAATATACTCTGCAGTGTTTCACATTATTCCTGTACACAGCTGTCTCTCAGGTTGTTTATTCTCGATTCACAACTGAAGGGTTAGAAGTAGCTTAAGGCAATAGAAACAGAATTGGGGCCAACAAAAATTGTCTGAGCTTGCCATTTGTTTCTGAACACATTATTTTGTATTCCTTTGTTTTGATATACTTATTTATTAAAGGAAATTTGCAGGAGGCCACATTTACGAAAGCAGATAGTTCTGGCAGACATTGGTGTACTTTGATAATAGACAGATTGTAGTTGTTAACTCTTAGCTTTCATCACCTACAAGATTGTTAGTTTGTGTCATTATTGGTAGTGTTGGTGACCATTAGGAATTCATCATGGATTAGCTTTCTCCTCCATCTTTTCTTCTCTATCTTACTCTTCTTTATCGGTAAAGCTTGTGACTCAGTGTTAGGAAAGTATT